GATCCCACCAGCCGTGAGAAATCCTGAGAAGGAGCAGCTTCCTCCTGATGTCCAGTAAAGGGGCTGTGGGGTCTTAGACCATTACCACAAAAATCACAGTGCCCTCTGCCACCCCGTATTAGCCACTGCTCAAGAGAGCATAAAAGACAGACAAACATATAGTCATGAGCAAGCAAAAAAAAAAAAAAAAACTATCCTCACACAAAGGGCCCCAAAAATCCAAGGTGAGCATCTAGTACAAGTTTCCTAATCAACTAGAATTAATGGAAGAGATAACAGGTTTGTTTGTTTGTTTTTTAATATCTATTTTTTTAATACATAAAGCACAAAACAAACTTTCTGAAACTTTGGCTAAAATTTTCAAACAATGAACTGAAAAAAGATCATGGTCATCCTTGAGAGCTAGTTGTTAATATGGGAGAGCAAGTAAAAAAATATAACTCAAGAAAGAGTAGAAACCATGAGAGACTAGCCACCCAACTGTGAATCATAGGAGCCCCTGAAGTAAAAAGGGAATAGATAAAAGAAAACTAATAATTATGAGAGAAATTTTTTCTAAACTAAGGAAAAGCATAAATCTGTAGATTGAAAGAGTTCACTAAATTTTGGCAATTAAATGAAAAATGATACATTTTTAGGCATATCCTGGTGACCTTCTTTGGTAGCAAGCATAAAGAAGATACAGTTTTAAGCCTCTTAAGAGGCTTAAATAACCTGCAAAGGCAAGTATGTATTATGCGGATGACTCATATATAGTATTGGAAAGTAGAAGGCAGTGAACCAATGTGTGTGTGTGTGTGTGTGTGTGTGTGTGTGTGTGTGTGTGCCTGTGTGTGTTTCTTTGAGAAAATTACTCCAAAGTTTGCTAATTATAAAATAAGTTCATCACAATCCACAGAACTACATAAGAGAAAATGAAAAGGAAAGAAAAGTGGTGGGTATTGGATCTAAAAGGAGGATGATAATAAAAATGTCAAGTAAGAGTTAAATTTGTGAACAATCTCAGAAAAAGCAGGATTTAGGAAGAGGTGTGGCATCAAGAGTGGGGTGATAGAAATGTACTCTGGAGTCTGTAGATTGGCAGGGGTGGAGAAATGAGTGGGCAAGCAAATTTGTGGGAGATGAGGTTTACAATTATTCAAATTTGATGCAATAATAAAAAATATAGGTTTATTGATGATCTTTCTGATAAACTTGAGGATTAGAGAAGCAGAGCAGAATGTCCAAATTAACGAGGAGGGAAAAGTAATCAAAATCAATTTGACTAAGCAAGAAAAAGCAAGAAAAGGTTAAAACAAGAAATAGGAGTGATGTATAAATACACAGGAAACATAAGACCAAGTATAACTTTGGCACATTAAATATAAGCAGGTTGCATTTTCCTAACAGAAGACAGAAAATCTGATTATGTTTAGAAACACAAAATCAAATAGTACATTTTTCATAGGGAGCACATACAGGTGGTCCCAAAAGGTGGCTGAAAATGATCCCTCTACAAAAAAAAACAAAAAGTGACCCCTAAATATGAAAACATTTTAAATGTTTAGCAGAACGTGCAAAAAATTAAGGAATATTCTCAAGGCCAGAAATTAAGTGTGATGTGAGTGTGAAACAACCAGTGGCACTAAAGCCAGTGGTTGCCCTGAGGGCGTTTGCATAACCTTGTCACCTAGATCTTGCAATTCTAGGAGAGAAGAGGCTGTGCAAGTTGAAGTGTCAGAACAGAGATCCCCACATAACATCAGGACACATGAGAGTCTTTCCCTCAGAGAAGGAAGGAAAAAGTCCATCTCTCAGAAGGAAGCGATAAGGAAACTTCAGTCTTGACCTTGACTCCAGATGGATAGAGAAAGAGTAAGCTTTACTGAAACACGTGTAAGCTCAAGCGTGCCATTACATGGGACTGGAGTTCCAAGTCACATTAATCTTAGGGTCTGAGAAGCATCAGCCACAAAATTGATTTAAAGGGTACCAAATTTGTAAGATACCCCATGCCACTTGACAGAACCAATTTTTTCTGGAAAAATGTACTCTAAACATTGGTCTTGGAAATGTAGAGGAAACTGGTGGTTTTCTGGCAAAGTATAAACTACCAAATTGATGGACTAAGTAGGAAACCTGATCAGAAGAACATTGGAAAGCTTTGATGCACCATTACAAAAAGGAATGGACCCATTGGTTTTACTGCTGGATTTTACCTACTTTCAAAAATGAGATATTTCTTATTAAGCAATTACAGATCATACAAATAATGGAAAAATCCACAATTAATTTGATAAAATTGGCATAAGCTTAACTAAAACATGGTAATGATAGTATATGTAAAATTATAGACTAACTTTTTATATGGCAGTAGCTACAAAAATTATTAATAAAATGTTATCCAATAAAATTCTGCAAATTTGCATTACCATTTAGGGTTTATTCCAAATATTCAAATAGTCAGCATCAAGGGCTCTTGTCATATATTTCATTACCTCAACAAATTGAAGGCTAAAACCCTCTAAGTAGAATTGGAAGAGAAGAAAAGCCCTTAAACATGGTAGAAATTAATTATCGGAACCCACTGCAACCATATGTATGAATGCTGAAGAAACTTTCATTGAAAATAAGGAACAAATTATGGATTCCTCTTTTTCCTCACTTTATTATTTAGTATATTACTATACAGCTGTACCATTATAACTAGTAAATTAATCCAATTAACTCCAAAATTAATCTTGAAAAAAATCTAATCTTTATTTTCAAATGAAATGTACATTTTTTTTAAAAAAGCTCAGGAGATTTTATTAAACATATTAGAATTAATAGAAGAATCTAATGAGATTGTGATAGAAAATCAATATAGATAAATCAGTAGCTTTTCTCTTCACTGGAACTAACTAGGTAGAAATGGTAAAATAAATAAATAAAAATTTGAAAGATAAAGAAAAGGCACTCACATTTGTGACTGGAATATTAAATTCATAGAAATAAATTTTACAATCAAACAATAATGACTTTATGGGGAAAATTTTTATTATAGTCCAAATAAATAGAAGAGCGTACTGTGTTCCTGGATATGAAGACTTAATATTAATCCTTCTAAAGGCCTATTTTATATGTAAAAGGTAAAGAAAAAAATCATAAAGACAGAAAACATGAGCATATAAAATGTAAAGTTAAAGTGCTTATAGAACGAATGCCACCAAGTTTAAAAATCAAACTATTCACTACGGAAAAAATATTTACAGTTCATACTGCAGACAAAGATTAATGTCCTCAATATCAACAAATCCAAAAACTGATAAGAAAGACAAAATAACAAAGAAAATTGGCACAGTTATGAACAGAAATATTGTTTTAAAAAGAAAATAAATCTAAATAATCCATACACATATGAACAGATAAGCAAAAGCTTGATTGAGTAAGTTTGATTACATCTGGTGATGGTACAGATTTAGGACAAGAAGCACTTTCCTACCTGGCTGGAAGGCAAATAATTTACTATAACATTTGTAATATAGTCTATTAGTGTTTTCTAAAATTTAAAACATACAGACCTGTCTTTTGCCCCAGCAGTACCAGGTTTGAGAATTTACTGATAGATATGAAAGCCCAATAAATATGGATATTGCATAAGGATGATTAGTGTGGTCCTGTTTTTGAAGCAGAAAAATGCTTAACCGTTTTTCCTAATGGTTCCTTATCAAGGAAGTAGCATTCTTCAATAAGTCATTAGAGAAAATGTTGAATTAAATAAACATTGACTACTATGGGAAACGATGCAGCTAATAAAAAGAATAAGTAGGACCTATAACCCTTATCCTGGAGGGACATCTATGATTGTTAGTGAGAAAAGCAAGTTGCAGAGTGACATAAAATGCACACCTGTTTATGTAGTTATACAACATATGTTTGGACGAGGTAGGAGATGTTTGATGGGACAGTATGCAAAGTGGTCAACCACCTGAAAAAGTTGGGCAAGGGATTTTGTGACTACTTTGTATTTAGGATTATTTCACAGGTGAAATGTATTATTCTTTTACATTTTTAGAAAGGGACATACCAATTTAATTTAAGTGACTTGAGTCTACAGAAGCTCTAGATTGAGATGTAATGTCAAGTTCCTCCTCAGATCTAAATTAACCATCTACAATGCTTTTAGTGTATTTTTTCCTAAAAATGTTATTATTATAACTTCATTTTTATCAACAATTTCCAAATGTAAGTGGAAGAAAATCCATTGTGATATTCCATGTTGGCCTAGAAAAAGAAAAGCAAGGTCTCTTTTATTCCTTTCTTCCAATAAATCATCTGGCATTTTCTCAGAGGGATGTGTTATGACTAATTCCAGCACTCACTCTGGTGCTGTTTTAATTAGAAGTTAATCTGATATTGCACATTTTAATTCCAGTTGCAAACTTCTTTATCATATGAGTTTTCTTACTCATAAAACCAGAAATAGCACATGCTAGGTTTATATGTATATTTTATAATATTGATATTTGGAACAGCAAATTCATAGAATTAATGTCATAGATTATGAGGTTGAGCTTATTTATTAATATAGAAATATTGATTACTAATTTTAATAATTAATGTGGACATAAATTGTATTAATTATTAATGTATGTTGTGCATATACACACACATAAATTGTTTGGTATACTTGTAGAACCCAAATTTCTCTCCTTGTTTATGTGACCCAAAACATAAATGACATTTAAAGTTTATTATTTTAGTTTAATTATGTTAAGTAATAAGTGTTTTATAATATACCATGTGCATTATAGAGACTTGATGTTTTTGTTTTTCTTATCGCTTATGATACATTGCATCTGCTATATTCTAGTTGGTGTGTTTCAAGCTTTTTTTTTTATAACACGTCATTCTAGAATCTTATGGGCTACTCATTTTATAGAATAGTGGCTGAAATTCATGCACTGACAAATATATAAAATATTTTGAAATAAATTATCGTTTTAGATTCCAGTTCCATTGTCTCTTTGTCCCCCTAGGTGGCTTTCACAGTACTTTTTGATTTGGAAGCACTTCTGAAGATATGGTGTTTGGGATTTACTGGATACATTAGCTCATCGCTCCACAAGTTTGAGCTACTCCTCGTAATTGGAACTACTCTTCATGTATATCCAGATCTTTATCATTCTCAATTCACATACTTTCAGGTAATATAAATAATGCCTATTTGTCTTTAGAATTTTTTCATTTCAGAGAAAATGCCAGTCACATTATAATAACTGTGTATAATTATAATAATTATGTAGCAAATGCCAACTTGGGATAGGAGCAGTGACATCTTAATACCCCAAACAGTGCAGTCATAAATTGTAACATTGTTTGTTCAACTCCTGAAAATTCACAGTAATAAATGAAGATGTTTTATGTAATAAATTAGTGCACTGTAAAGATATACATTTTTATATATACATGGATATTATGCATCTATGTATACATATCAAATTTTAAACTACATAAGATGTTGACACACACTTTAAAGATTAGGAAATAGAAATTGAATTGCAAGTGTAGATCTCCCTTCTCAATAAGCCTATATATATTCACTCAACAATGACTTACAATTGAAATAATAAGCAATAAAACTTACCTTTACAGATTATAATTAATCATACTTTATTATTTATAAATGCCTATTACTTTCTTTATGATGATTAAATAATAATACTTTAATTATTTAGATTTAACTGGATGTCTATTTTTTTCAAATATGATATCTTGGATCACATCACTATAATTATTCAGTAAACAAAAGTAATTATTAATTATGCTTTTTGTAATTGTTAAATAAGAGCAGTGTGCTCATTGTTCTTTTAAATAGTTGGTTAAAATGATAAAGTATATATGTATGTGATATTCTAATTTTTAATCTCAAATATAGTCATTTTTCTAAGTCAAAATTGGTCATTTATATAATTTACTTTGGAAATATCACAGTGTGCTTTGTTTTCTTCATAGATATTTTAAAATAATTGGAGAACAAAGTAGCTGTAGAATTTTAAAGAAATAACTCAGAAAATAAGATTTCAGCCCCTTAAAAGAAAGAAAATGCATTCCAACTTCATCGATTTTATTGATTGGTCATTATCAAGGCAACATTAACTTAAGATACCAGATCACAACCTGAAATTCAATATTTCTGATACCTGGAGGAAAGAACATGAAAATATAATTCATGAAAGTTAAAAACAAATAAAAAGCTGAGTTTCTAGTAATTACAGCTAAGCATAGTGAAATCATAGAGGGCTGTCATGGTTCAAGCTTTCAGTACTGTGAATAGCTTTGGACATAAATCCAAAAGCTATTGGATTTATGTAGCATAAATAAATGGCTGGGGCAAGAGATATACACATTTAAAACTCTTGATACAAAATGAGCTTCCAAAACATTCATGCATTATGCACTCTTGGGCACTGCTGTCTAGATTCACAAAATCAACAGGAGCATTTTGTGCCTACTTTAGAAAACCATTGTAGAAATAATAGAAAATATGCCTGATAATCAAAACTATAAGATACTTTAATATAAACCTATTAAGTCAACCAAATTAAGAAAAATATTGATGCTTATTTCAGCAAGGATATACTGTAAAATATGTTCAGGGTTTAAACATTCTTATAGTTTCTCACAGATAAGTTTTCAGGGAAAAAAATAGATCAAAATTTTGGAATTCCTGATGGGAGAAAAAAATGGGAACTCTTTAAATGGTAAACATTTAAGGAATAGTTTAAATATGCAAATTTGACCTCAAAAATAATAATTATGATGAATTTTCAATAACTTAGAGATATGATTGTTTTATTTATATGCAAAACAGTATAAAATTATATAACATATAAAGTACATATAAATAGAAAAATGACTGGAAAGAAAAGTGTTACAAATTATTAATAGTCATCATCTTTAGTTTTTTTTCTACTAGTCTGTTTTTACAAAATATTGAAAATTCATATTCGTGGTTGTAATTATATATATATGTATATATATATACATATATATATATAGTCACAATATAGTCACATAATATGCAGTCCATGAAGTTTGCAATTTTACCATTACCTTTGATGATTCTGGGTTATAATTTGTAATATTGGGTTGTCAGAAAAATCATGATGCATTTTTGCAATGAAAAATAGAGAAAAAAATATGTCATTACTTTTCCAACAACCCAATAGTTTAATTTATATTAAGTGATTTTCGTTTGTATCTCTCTATACATGGCCATGGTTAAATTTTTCTAATTAGTTATTTTAAAACTACCTCAATAATTTTGTGGCTAAAAAATAAATCTCTCAAGAAGATTAGATGTCACAGGACATATACAAATTCACTATAGTGAACCCACTGTACCAACCTGCTGTCATGTCCCTTGTTGGTCCTCACACTTCTCATTTCAGTGGACCTTGCTTCATTGTGTTGGCAGCAAGTCTGCCCTTACTCAGTTTCATATTTTTCGTATTTAAATGAAGTCAGCAGTTTAGTACAAAATGGCTCCCTTTAAAATATTAATTACCCCTGAGACGAATTATCGGTGTTATTCATCTATTTATTTAAATGATATGTACTGAGTGCTTGCTGTCTGCCAAGCACTGTTTCAGATACTGAGGGTAGAGAGGTGAGCAAGGCAGCAAAGATCTCCTCCTCAGTAAGCTTAAATTCTGGGGGATAAACAGTTCACAAACAATTGCACAAAAGAATGTAGAATACAAATGCCAGAAATGATTTGAAGGAGAAATCAGCAGGGTAAAAATATAAATGTTGTGGGGTGGGGTGCTATTTTAGATAAGTTGTCATGGAAGCCCTTTCTGAAGAGGTGACATTTGAGCAGAGACTGAAAGAAATGAAGGGGTGAGCCATGTGACGATCTGGGGTGGAAGCATTGCAAGTAGAGAGGACCACATGGCACCTGTCCCGAGGTGCCAACATGCATGACATGTTCAAGGAAAAGCACAAAAGCCAGCGTGGCTGGGCTGGGATGAATATAGAGCAGCATTGCCCTATGGGAATTAATCTTTAAAAAATGCCATGGTTCTGACATACCAGGATAATCATGACAACGTCAGCTGGTATTTATTGTGTATTTACTATGTGCCAGGCACTGTGCTGAGTGCATCATTTCATTTGTTTCTCATAACAATTTTGAGAGATAGAGAATATATGTATATATACGTAAACTGAGGTCCCAAGAAATCTAATAACTTGCCCAAGACTACATAACTAGCAAATAGTAGAAACTCATCCCCAAGAAGTTTAATTCCATCACTCATATTCTTAACCACACAATTTCTACAGTATCTCATTATAAACCTACTGAGTGATTTTTAAGAGACAGACTTAGAAATGTGACCAGGAAAATGCACTTCGGAAACAATCACAAAATATTCTACAGTGCTTATCTTGGAAAGTATAGTTTACTTTCTTTTGTATCTGTAGGAACACAAAATAAAAAATACAGGGTAGACAGAGTGAAAAGCATATTTATCTTCAAATAAATGAAAAGGCATAATTAGAGTCACTGATAAGGATATTACGTTTCCAGGGATGCAGGTTAACCTTTTGAAATTTGCTCATCAAATCCCCAAAGTGGGAGTTGTGTTAATTTCTGTTTCTTCCAGGTGATGAAATATTAATTTATCAAAATTGCACAGATGTGCATAAGCTGTTTTTTCCCCAAAGTTTGAACATTGTTTATATCATATTTTATTAGTTTCAGGCATACAAAACAATGTAATAGTTACATATTTACACCCCTCACAAAGTGATAACCCCCCCAAATCTACTACCCCTCTAACATCATATATAGCTGTTACAATAACAATGACTATCTTTACTATGCTGTACTCCACATCTTGTGGAGATGTGTGTGTGTGTGTGTGTTATATATATATATATATATATATATATATATATATAATACACACACACACACACATATATATATTAATACCTTGGTTTGCGAGCATAATTCGTTCTGGAAGCAAACTACTCATATTGCAAGACATAGCTTGTTTACCAAGTTAAAATGCATTAGAAATGTTTGCTCATCTTGCAGAACACTCACAAACCAAGTTACTCACAATCCAAGGATTTATTGTGTGTATATACACACACACACACACATTTTATCTATATATCTATATATAGGTATATTATATATAGGTATATATATATATAATTTAATTATACTTGACATTCATTATTATTCTACTTCAGCTTCAGGTGTAAAGCACAGTGGTCAGGCATCTACACAGTCTATGAAGTGATCCCCTTGATAAGTCCAGTGCCCATCTGGCACCCTACATGATCTTTACAATGTTATTGGTTATATTCTCTATACTGTGTTTCACATCCCTGTGACTATATTATGACTATGGCAGCACTTTTTATTTATCAGAGTACATTAAAAAATGATGACAGCTTAGACTTGATAAAAAATGCTATTTTTCCATATTTTATACTTCAACTTTTAATTATATTCCAATTTATATTTTTAATGTAGATATGCTGTTAGGAACTATGTCTTTGTTTTATACTCTCTTTGTAATGGCAGTCATTGAATATTATTTGTCCAACACAATTTTGGCATATAACAATCAGTATTTGTTAACTGAATGAGTGAATTAATTTATTAATTAATAATATGGGTGGGAGTTTTTGTATGCAAAAATTTTTGAAACATGTGCAAAAACATATATGCAAAACATTTAAACATATGTATGTGTTTAGATAATAAGCTAAGCAGATATAAAGAAGATCTATAAATACAAGCCCTACATAAGATAGAAGTTTGTTTCTTTCTAGTAGTTAGTTGGTCGGTGCCCAGGGCATGTAGGTGGCTCTGCTCCACGCAGTCATCCAGGAAGCCAGTCTGTTGGGTTGGATTGAATCTATCATCTTTTATACAAGGCTTCTCTTTTTGGTCCAAAGGAGCTTCTCCAGTTGTTTGCATTTTCTAACCAGAGGAAGGTATAAAAAGAGTATCCAGAGATAGGTTTATTTAATTTAGTGCTAAAAGTTGCAAAAATCACTTTTTTTCCCATTCCATACATCTGAACCTAGTCCACTGGCCATATCTAGCTGTAAGTGGAATTGGAAAATGTATTCTGTAGCCCTGGGTAGCCACTTGCTGGACTAAAATTTAGAACGTTTTATTATGTAAAGGAAGGAGAGAATGGATATTAAGGTTGCAGTCTCAGCCATAAGTAAAGACTCCTTAAAAAACAGTTTCTTTTTTTTAAATTTCTTTATATATATATATATATATATATATAAAACAGTATGTAGAAGTTTTATTTTATGAGGCAGCGAATATAGATAATATTGAACTAAATGTTTTCTTCAATATTTGAATATTAAAAAAATATCAGTTTTATTTCAATAATTAATACCATTTTGAATTGTATGTTAAAACACTTAGCTGTTACCATTTCCCTTCATTCATTCATTTGGGATTTATTGAGTTCTTGCTATGTGACAGGCAGTGAACTAAATTTATATCTGAGGTATTATATTGGTACTTTTCATCTCTAGATATTCGAATGGAAAAATGCGATTTTATAACATGCTATGAAAAATTAGATGTTAGTATTCATTTAAGACTCAGCATAAGTAAATGATCAACTGTGTATGTTTTTCTCTCCCACAATAGGTTCTTCGGGTAGTTCGTCTTATTAAGATTTCTCCTGCTTTAGAAGACTTTGTGTACAAGATATTTGGTCCTGGAAAAAAGCTTGGGAGCTTGGTTGTATTTACTGCCAGCCTCTTGATTGTTATGTCAGCAATTAGTTTGCAGATGTTCTGCTTTGTCGAAGAACTGGACAGATTTACAACATTTCCAAGGGTAAGAACAAAAAATGCAGTTTAATTCATTATGCTTATTTTACTAATAATTAGTAATTATTATATATAAAAAAATATATAAAAATAATAAAATTAACATCAAAGTAATTTCACTTTAACAGTGGTTCAAAAATATTGCCATGTTTTTGATAACTTGGAGTTACTAAATTTTAATTTTTAAAATGGTTTCTTCAGGGTACAGGTGTTTGAGTACATTTTCAGTATTGTCAGATTATTCATCAGTTCTAAAATTCTGGAAATAACCTAATATAATGAAATACTGAAACTTGTAAAGATAGAAACAAGTGTTCTTAGCACCTGTAAATGAAAATATAGTCGAACTTTAAAATACAGTTTGCTTTTTTTGTGTTTGTGAGAGATAACATTTGAAAATATGTCTTAGAGTTTATATATTTTTATGTCAGGTTTGAAGTATCTTTAGAAGATCATCTAGTCCCTGCCTCTGCATTCTCCTTAGAATTCATTTAGGCTTAAAGGAAGTTAAAAATCAATTAGTTCATAAGCAGAACTCGGGTAGAAAATGCAGCTCCTAACCAGAAGGATCCTGAAATTTATAACTCTCTGTGGATTTAGAAACATAAAAAATATAATGACCAAGACATATATATATATATATATATATATATATATATATACACACACACTGTATGTGTGTGTACACACACACACACACACACACACACACACACACACACACACACACACACCATCAGCTGAAAGAGTAAGGCATATTACCATTATATGGGAAGAAAAATCTTGGGGTAAGAACAGTATGTTGTTGTTTTTTTTAATCGACTTTGAGGACAAAAGTGTCTATTCTCATAACAGAGAGACTAATAATAGCCTGGGTTATTTTTTAAAGCATTGTGCTCAATGTGTTGCTCATCACCTAGTAATTCTTGAGCAGCTATCAAGAGCCAGGCAATTTTGGTGACCCTGGGACACACACCCAAGTAAGTTTCCAGTCCTCAAGAAATTCTCGGTTGAGAGGGGTAACAGTAAGTTCACATGAAGGCTTGATAAAGGCCAGGTGCTGTGGAAACCCAGAAGTAAGGTCCATACCAGGAATGGAAAAGCCCAAGAAGCTTCTTAAAACAGGGGGTTACTGAAGACCAGTTGGATGTAGCCAAATGAAGTGTAAGACTACAGTGTTCCAGGTTGTGGGGACAGCTTGTGCTAAGGGTCTGAGCTGAGCCATTGCTTATTCTAGAACTTAAAAGAGAAAGAACGGTTAATGGCAACAGGAGGACATAAGGACAACAAACTTTTAAGTTGGATGAAAAAGTGTGATCATGTTTAAATGCCGGAGAGAAAGCAAGTAGAGGGTGAGGTTAAAGATGTATGAGCTAAAAAGAGCTATAGCAAGAGGTTCCTGAAGATGGCCTACAGAGCACGGGCACCAAGATGGGTCTTAGGTACTGAGCTATCAGGTGTCAAGGTGGTTCTGTAGGATAGCAAGCCAAACGAAAGTCACAGTGAGTCTCTGTTCACTTACTGCCGCAGTACAAGCCATGGGCAGACACAGGCATGGGCTCCTGAGCGTTCTGTGCTCCCCACTGAACAGCACTGGCAGGAGGTCAGGCAGGTCAGCACAGAAGTGGTGGGGGGAGGGCGCTTGGCACTGCAAAGCCTGTCATTGCCTATGACGGGGCCACATAGAATGCCAACTGGCCTGGAGCCAGACCCCTCAACAGGAGGGTCAGCTCTTCCTTCGGGGATGGAGAATGCAAGCAAAGGGGACAATGCTGTCATTAAGGCCGCCTTCTCTTAGTTGGCCCCTCACTGCCCCTTCAATGGGCAAATACAAATTGCAGACCACCACCTTTCACAGTAACACTGGGACCGTTACCATGGTCCATCTCTCAGGCCAGTTTAATGCAGCACACAGTGTTGAAGGCCCCTTTGGGTCAGCCATTTTTGTAGGCATGGGGGATACTGAATGGAAAACAGCCCTCAGTTTCCTTACTTAATAACACAATCTCATCATAATCTCATATCTTCATCTTTTACCATTTCCTCTAATCTCACCTCACTGTTTTTGTATCCTTTACCCAAAACCTCTTTGAGCCAGAAGGTTTTTGGAGTTTAGAATAATCCAGATATTATAAGGGTGATATCAGCCTCTAGAGTTTCCTGAATCAGCACCCCATAATCAGCACATTAATATTTCTATAGCGAAGCATCAACCTTCAGAGAAAGAAGGATAATCTTAGGTCAGATAAGATTTTTGCCACTAAAGGATCTATGAAAACAACAACAACAAAAAAACATATCTTTGGATATTTTCAAAAATATTTGAATATTGAAGTTGTGAATTAAGGCTGTAAGCCATTATAAAAAAGCATTACTGCAGATAAGACTCTGTACTTCCTGTTGTCCAAGTCTGATTTCACATCACCACTCCATCACTCATTCGCTATGCAACTCTGGATTAGTTATCCTGTAAGCTATTTTTTTACATCTAAAGTATAGGCGAAAATAGCGTTTTTCTCTTAGTGTCATGTGTATTGAATGATATACAAAACAGCACAACTCTAGGCTTAGAAAGCATTAAAAAAGCTATATCCTATATAATGTATTTGAAGTTGGTGCGTTAGCCTTTGTGTAAGAGTCAAGGCTGCTTTAGATCCATGCCTGACTTAGCCCCTTGGAATTTTCTCTATTTTCCAGCCATGATAGTAATCAAGTAGCATTACATTTTCAGATCTCCAATTACTCAATTGTGCCTTTCCGCATGATTACTTTGACCATCTTAATGAAAGCAGCCAGCGACTGCGAGGCCCCATAATCAGTTATTCAGCAGCTGACAGTGTTGACAGCCTAAACATGTGAAGTGACAAGGAGTGGGTTTTTTCTTGCACATGAATGTAATTAAGAGTTAAATCCCTGGAAAATCATCTTATAAAACATGTTAAAAATATTATAATTACAAAAAGTAGTCATTATCATTCCCAGTGAAATGAAGAACCATCAGTTGGTGGTCCTTGCCTGATAGGAAATCATCAGAAAAGATGGTTCAAAACACTAGCCAGACGCTACTCTATTTCTGTTCAGACACTGTTCCCTGGATCCCACTCCCCCTTCCTTTCTCATGCAACATCTCTCTCATTATACAGTGGTTGGATGTTGAGGTAGGTTGGCTAATTATAGTGTGCTACAAAGCACAGCACATTAGGAGAACACATTTTCCATAAGAAAAATCACACAATACTGCCCAAAGTAAGACAGGAACTTTAAATACCAGCAATTGCTTATATTACCTTTCCTTGGATCCAGGCCACCTTGGCGGCTTACTATCACCAACATACATAGAGCTATGGGATGCAGGAGCATAAACTTGAGAGAGTCCGGGAAAGGACTGGCCATGAAGAAAGGAGTTCAGCAGAAGCAAGAGCCTGACTTGGCAGAGGGAACTCTGTGTTTGTGCCAGAGAAATAATTTTTCTCTGGCTGTGTTTTGAAGCTGATCTTGACCCAGCCATCCAGGTGGCATATACTCTCTAATAAAATGGGACTAGATGTATATGAAACAGTAGTTTGATTAGACCTGATTGTATCTTGGGACCCAGCAACCCACTGTGAAACCCATCTAAGAAGACCTGACATGGACACACGAAGGTGGTTTCCCCATCCGAATTCCAAAAGGAGAATCCTGGAGAGGCAGAGGGCTAGAGAGAGAACAGCAACAGGGGTACATGTAGTGCCCAGTGCATTGACCCTCGGACGGAGCTTCACACACATGGAAATACCCCAGGTACTTCCTGAAACGCTAGAAGGTGAAAGGGATCCTAAAGGGAGCTCTCACTTGCGTTCACTCCACAGGTTCCCCTAATGGGTCTTCCTGCCCCTGTCGGAGCACTTCAATCCATTCTTCTTTGTAGTAAAAATGATCCTCCTAAGATGTCTCATCACACTCTCCTGTTTAAAATGCTTCAAGGTTCTCCTTTCCCTGAAGATAACAAACCTTTTAATATGGTTTTTAGTATCTTTTCATCTCTGGCACTATTTACCTCTTCAGGTTCACATTTCAGGATTTCCTCCACCAGACCTTTCAAAGACAAAGACAGTGTCTGTCTTGCTCATTGACTGCTCTGTGCTTAGCACAATACTTGCCACAGGGACGTTATGAATAGGTTTCTGAAGAATAAATAATAGTGCTGGACCAAAACAAACTTCTACAGTCATCCCACGCTGTATCAGGCGCAACAAGCCAGATTCTTTGATTCTTTCTCCCACTGTTGTCCATTCCTCCAGGACTCCCCTTCACCTCATCACTGTCCTTACCCGAACCCATCAAAAATGTCTGCATAATTATCTCAGAATGCTTTGGCCGCAAGTAGCAGAAAACCTGACTCCAATGGACTTAAACAATTAGGAATTTTATCTGACAAAATTCAAGAGATTAGGTAAACTTCAGGAAGCAAAGTCTCCGGATCATTCACTGAAATTCTCTCAAGTGTGGTTATGGAATGAATCATGTGCCCCAAAAGATATGTTGAAGTCCTAACTTCCAGTACCCCAAAAATCCGATCTTATTTGGAAATAAAAGTAATCAAGTTAAAATGAAGTAATTTGGGTGGGCCCTCGTCCAATATGACTGATATCCTATTAAAAAGGGGAGACTTGGACACAGACACAGACATACACAGAGGGAAGATGACGTGAAGACACACGTGGAGAAGATGGCCATGTGATGGGAGTGGCATCTTTAAGCCAAGGACCTCCCAGGATTGCCAGCCAACACCCAAAGTAGGAAGAGGCAAGGGAGCATTCTCTGCTAGAGCCTTCAGAGGGGGTATCATCCTGCCCATACACTGATTTCAGATTGCTAGTCCTTAGAACTGTGAGATCATAAATTCCTGGGGTTTTTAAGCCACCCAGTTTTTGCAGTTATCTTTTCTACGTGTTGTCTTCATCTGTTATCAAAATAGATGGAACATTTCCAGGCATCATGATAAAATCTAGAGGAAGAAGTGGGTCA